GTTGTCAGGCATTGTGGCTCAAGCCTGTAATCTCGGCACTTTGGAAGCCTGAGCTGGGCAGATCATGAGGTTGGGAGTTCAAGACGAGCCTGACCAACATGGTGAAACCCCAATTCGACAAAAAATTTCAAAATTAGCCGGGCGGGGTGGGTGCCTGTAATCCCACCTACTTGGGAGCCTGAGGCAAGAGAATGGCTTGAACGCAGGAGGCGGAGGTTGCAGTGAGCCAGGATCATGCCATTGCACTCCAGCCTGGGTGACAAAGTGAGACTCTGTCTCAAAAAAAATTGTTAGAATGTGAAATTTTATGTTATATAGATTTTATCACAATTTAAAAAATTAAAAATGAAAAAGAATCTGCACTTAAAAAATACCTACATAGATGTTATTCATATTACACTGCTATAATAATTATTTTCTCTTAGGATAAATAGTACAGAGAAAGGATTGTTTCAGGTCTACTTTCAGTTCTCATATAAACAGTTGTGCGTTGCTTAATGACAAGGATACATTCTGAGAAGTGCAATGATAGGTGATTTCATTGCCCAATCATCATAGAGTGTACTTACACAAACCTTCTCCATACCCAGGATATGCAGTAAAGTCTGTTGCTTCTCGGCTACAACCCTGTACAGCATGTCACTGTACTGAATATTGAAGGCAATTGTAACACAGTGCATCAAAACAGAAAAAAGGTATAGTACAAAATTAGCCAGGTGTGGTAGCACATGCCTGTAATCCCAGCTACTTGGGAGGCTGTGGCAGGAGAATAACTTAAGCTTAGAGGCAGAGGTTGCAGTGAGCCAAAATAACACCATTGCACTCCAGCCAGGGCAGCAAGAGTGAAACTCTATCTTAAAAAAAAAAAAAAAAAAAAAAAAAAAAAAATATATATATATATATATATATATATATATATATATATATATATAAAATCAGTCTATGAGATTAAAAAAAAAAAGGCACACCTCTACGGAGCACTTAGCAGGAGTGGAGCCTGCAGTATTGAAAGCTACTCTGGGTGAGCGACTGAGTGAGTGAGTGAGTGAGTGAGTGATTCAGTGAGTGACTAAGTGACTGAGGGAGAGAGTGACTGAGTGAGTGAGTGAGTGACTGAGTGAGTGACTGAGTGACTAAGTGAGTGAGTGAGTGACTGACTGAGTGAGTGAGTGAGTGACTGAGTGACTGAGTGAATGAGTGAATGAGTGAGTGACTGAGTGAGTGACTGAGTGACTGAGTGAATGAGTGAGTGACTGAGTGAGTGATGACTAAGTGATTGAGTGAGTGAGTGAGTGACTGAGTGACTAAGTGAGTGAGTGAGTGACTGAGTGAGTGAGTGAGTGACTGAGTGAGTGAGTGAGTGACTGAGTGACTGAGTGAGTGACTGAGTGAGTGACTGAGTGAGTGACTGAGTGACTGAGTGACTGAGTGAGTGACTGACTGACTGACTGAGTGAGTGACTGAGTGAATGAGTGGTGAGTGAATGGGAAGGTATAGGACATTACCTTAGGGCTACTGCAAACTATAAACACTGTACACAGAGGCTACATTAAATTCCTAAAAAATTTTTCTTTCTTCAGTAATACATTAACCATAGCTTACTATAACTTTGTTACTTTGTAAACTTTTCAATTTCTTTCAGTTTTTTGACTCTTTTGTAATAACGCAGCTTAAAACACAAATACATTGTACAGCTGTACGAAAATATTCTTTCTTTATATGCTTATGCAATAAGCTTTTTTCTATTTTTAAATTTATTTACTTACTTTTTAACCTTTTTTGTTAAAGATGAAGATGCAAACATACACAGTAGCATCTAAACATGCACAAGGTCAGGATCATCAATATCATTGTCTTCCATCTCCACATCTGTCCCACTGGAAGGTCTTCAGGGGCAATAACACACATAGAGCTGTCATCTGCTATCACAATGCCTTCTTCTGGATACCTCCGGAGGGACTTGCCTGAGGCTACTTTATAGCAAATTTTCTTTTATATACACAGGTACAAAGAGAATGCTCTAAAATAACTGCAAAGAGTATAGTGTAGTAAATACTAGGCGATAGGAATTTTTCCCCTCCATTATAGTCTTATGGGACCACCATCATATATCCAGTCCATCAGTGACCAAAACATCATTACGTAGCTCACGACTGAATAACCAAGATAGGACAAAATGAATATGATCATTCTCACTGAGAGATTAGGCAGAATTGTCCAATTTGAGTCCAGTATGGCCACTCAGGGCACACTGACCTTTACAGATGGCACAGAGCTCCGTGTACACAGAGTGAAGTGGAGAGAGTCAAAGAGTGAGTGACTGTAGGAGACATCTGCCCTCCAAAGTTCAGAGTACCCAGCATACAGCATCCACAGCTGAGCCCTCAGGTAGCAAACGGCAATTTTCATTCCCCACGTTTCTGGGAAATCACTTTTATACATCACAACAAAAATTTTAGATTTCGTTGAAAAGGATGGCCAAGAAATAGCTGGGTCTAATTTCGAGAACAAATGCAAAAGCGCTATTTCTGTAATATGGAAATCCATATCTGTGCTCTTTTCCTGTGTGCAGAGTTCAAAAATTTCAGTTCAAATCCTGACTCTACGTGACTGTGTGCAAGTCACTTAACCTCTGTTAGTCTAAATGTTCTTATTCAGAAATAAGACGTGCTTGTACTCACAAACAGCACGGGTTCTTTTCCATGCTGATGTTCTGGGATTCAGTTCCTCCAGGGCTGAGGCCACATTGGTGCTGTTTAAAATCTAGGTAACTTGGGGTGTGGGTGTTAGGGACAGTGCCCCCACTAAGGCTGCTGGAGGTGATCCCATGCAATTTCCCAGCTCTGAAAGGTGGCATGAAGCCTCTGATTGCTGTGAGATTTATATAACAGGAGGGTTGACGAAGCCTTTCTGATTGATAAAATATAATCAAGGAGAATAGCATGTGTGTCGAACATGCATTAGATCAGTGAAAGCAAGGAACAGAAAGAAAGACAAGAGATGCATGCAGGCCTGCTGACGGCAGGGCATGTTTTGGAATCTGCTTGCTGTGCCACGCCTTATTCAGAACAGTGTCCTGGGGAAGCAAAGTGCAGTTCTGTGTCATAGGAGTTTCCTTCTCTTTGGGAAGACTACATACTGCCAGTTCTGGCCTGGTGCAGTGGCTCACACCTGCAATCCCAGCACTTTGGGAGGCCAAGGTGGGCAGATCCCTTGAGGTCTGGAGTTTGAAACCAGCCTGGGCAACATGGTGAAACCCTGTCTCTACTAAAAATACAAAAATTAGCTGGGGGTGGTGGTGGGCACCTGTAATCCCAGCTACTCAGGAGGCTGAGGCAGGAGAATCACTCAAACACAGGAGGTGGAGGTTGTGAGCAAAGTGTGGTGAGCAGAAATTGTGCCATTGCACTCTGGCCTGGGTGAGAGAGTGAGACTCTATCTCAAAAAAAAGACTGTATGTTGTCATTTTATAGCTTGCCTACTACAGTGGTTCTGCACAGTGGGCACTCAATGTATTTTGTGTGATTTAATGTTTCAGTACTGATGAGAGGCCTTTTACTTTTCTATTTGTTCTTGTCTCCAGGCTTTGGATTGGTCTGTTTGAGATTTAACCTTCTTAACCAAACACAGCCACAACTCAAGATAAGACTCATCAGATTTTTTTTTGAGACGAAATGTTTCACTCTCGTTACCCAGGTTGGAGTGCAATAGCGCGATCTCGGCTCACCGCAACCTCCGCCTCCTGGGTTCAGGCAATTCTCCTGCCTCAGCCTCCTGAGTAGCTGGGATTACAGGCATGCACCACCATGCCCAGCTAATTTTTTGTATTTTTAGTAGAGACGGGGTTTCACCATGTTGACCAGGATGGTCTCGATCTCTTGACCTCGTGATCCACCCTCCTCGGCCTCCCAAAGTGCTGCGATTACAGGCTTGAGCCACCGCGCCCAGCCTCAAGACTCATCAGATTTTTATCAGTAAACTAGAAGGTAGATCTAATGCAAGACTCAGATGTGAGTCGCTGATTGGCTCCACTGTAGAATAGACCTGAGGCCCTGGGGTGTCCAGAGCCCACCAGTGCGCAGCACGTGGGCTGATTGCATTAACCAACTACCGTCCTCTGAGCTGGTTCTAAGCCAGCCACTCTACTCTGAGATTTGAACAGGGCGGTTGACACAGCTAGAGCGGTGAGAAACATCAACCAGAAGCACATGGCATTCTCTCTTGATTTTTCTTGCTGGTTATTCTGAGCTTGCCTGGCTAATATGTCTCTGAAAAATCATCTCACTAAACAGCAGTAAGTAGTTAAACAAAATGACAATATTAGCATTAACAGCTAAAATATGATAAATATTTTTAGGCATAAGGTATTCAGAAATATGCCTAAATAAATGCTATTTAGGCAATTATATTCTTGTGCCAGCAAATAACAAATGATAATCACTTCTTCCATGGCTGTAAGTATGTATTGATTAAGCTCAAAGTTAGAACTCCAAAATGAATTATATCTGGTCATTGCTAAACTGCTTTGCTCACTGGAAGGAAAAAAAAATCCACAACACCTATTATACTGCATTTAATTAAGACAAGCATCAACTTTATGTGCCATTATTTGTTTCTGCCAAATCTCTATGGTGTAAATATTGAACAGTGGCATCTCTTGAATGCTAATCAATCCTTTCTGAATTTCAAATGATTACATAAATTTTAGGAAATGCTTATTTGCCAGCATTACCCTCAGCTGCATATATATCAGCAAGGCATTAGTATGAAGATATGCGTGGTTATTTGACAAGTGTCTAGTGAGTGTTTTTCTAAATTAGAATATCACATATGAAAAGGTAAAAACTGGGAATGAATGCTAATTGTAAGAAGAACCCTGGGATATTTCTTTTGCTTATCTGACTTCATGAAGAACAATTTAACCAATGCTCTTGGGTAAAAATGTGAGGTAAATGTTCTGTTTCACTAGGCTTTGTAGTCCGGCCGTAGCAGTGTGTGGGGGTGAGTGTGTAATCATATTTAGAGAAAGCCAACAATAAAGCAAATATTGTGACCAGCTTCAGGAAGGAGAATTGCCACATAATAGGAAGATTAGGTTTTGCTGTTTCAAAATCAACTTTTACGCAGCTACCAAGTAGAAAGAATTTTATGACATTTAGACTATCGTGCTTATTTCAGAATTAATAGGCATAAATTTTGATGCACAATTGGAATTTTTTTTTTACTGGTTTCCACCCTTCTGAAGCTCTTACAGCACTTGCAGTTACGAGGCAGTCAAGTAAGGGATAAGAACAGGCACTCCTATTTCACTTTCTAGAGTAGCTGTAGATTTCCCATACAGCGAATGGTACGCTTGGTACAGTCATCTTCTGACTTACAGTGAATGAATCGTTCATCTGGCTTTAGGCACTGCAAACACAATTTAATCAGTGATCACATTTCTCCATCGGATTTGTTTTCATTTGTTTGTTTATTTTCTTCTGTTAGTTCCTGCAAACAGATCTCTGCTGGATTTGTAAGCCTCCTTTATTAACTGGATGTAATGAGCAGAAAAAGCAAAACGGGGATTCAATTTTCCCTTTGTTTCAGTTGCTTTACTTATTAATAGAGTTGGGCGCTGTTTTTCACCTCCCACACAATAGGAACACCTAGTTTGGTGGCAGAAAAAGGAAACACCACACACAAACTCAACAAGTCGCTGTGCCTCTTCTGGAGAAGCGGGCAGAAGCGGTCTCTTTTTGTAAGCCCTTTGCATTCTCTTCTCCAAAATTGTGTCTAGAGTATTTCCGGGCTCCTCCAGAAGTGAGGAGGGTGGGGAGCGCTCGGACATCAACGGGGCCACCAGGCACCTCCTTTCTGAGCAGTTCATCACTTAGGAAAGGCAAAATGCACGCGTCCTGAGCACAGTCCAGGCCAGAACTTTCCTTTTTCAAAAAGCCACCCCACCACTGGCCAGTCATCAGGCGAAGAAAACTGTTTTCTCTGCACAGGAGGTGGCAGAAAAATCGCCTCATGATTTGCAGCGCCATGTCACCCTGACATCAGGACCATGTCACCCTGACATCAGGACTTGGAAGCTAGGGTGAAGAGGCTGTGGACGGTGAAGTCTTTTCCTTTCAAAGGAGGGCACACGCCAAGCTTGCCGGTACCTTCGGAATAGTACTTCCCGTCGAACAAAAAGGAGCGGTCCTCTTTTAAAGAAAAATGTCATAGACAAGCAGAAAGAGGTTCTGACTGAAGGGCGGTGGTTTTCCGGGCTGTGTTAACACAGGAGCCTTTTGTATGCCTCACTCAGTGGCTGAATGTTTACTATCTACAAATCCCTGCTGTCTCTTGTTAAATGAGATGTGAGATCAATAGTTGCTCTGCAATTCTGTGCTTACTTACAAAGCCTTCGTTTTCAAATGAAGTGCGAGGGTGTATGTACGCGGATGTATACGGACAGAGAGAGAGAGGGAGAGAGAGAGTCTCAAAAGTGATGAGACAAGAGTTCCCATAGATGACGGCTTGTGCTGGAGTTGTAAGCTCTGTGGAGACGTCCTGACTGGCCTTGGGGATACCGGGCCAGCCTGCCTATTTGCATTTTGCCTTACCAACCACTCTATGGGGAGCTTTGACAGCAAACCTCTGCCAGGTTCTGATATTGAATGCCAGAGGACAAATGGCGCACACTTCAGTAAAGGGAAAAGAAGCATTAGATCTTTCTTGAAATGTCAAAGCAGAAGAAATAATGAACAAAATTTAAATAAGAAAAAATTCCTACATCAGAAACTAAAGACTACTGGAAAACTAACCACTGCAAATAAATATCCTTACCCAAAAGACTGAACTCATCCACATCTTGCAGCTAGTAAACATGCTATTTACTACTAACAATGTCAGTGTCATATCACAAGAGCAGAATTATGACCGAACCCTTCAGGAAAGTGGACGGCTGTACTTGAAAACAGAATTTACAAACTTACCACACTCCTCTCTGCCTGTCCACCACCCACACCGACCCTGCCCTGCCCCAAGGAGCTTGTCCACCTAAACCTTAGAGATGCAATTAGCTGCTTTAGGATTTTTTTTTTTTTTTTTTTTTTTTTTTTTTTTTTTTTTTGAGACGGAGTTTCGCCCTTGTTACCCAGGCTGGAGTGCAATGGCACGATCTCGGCTCACCGCAACCTCCGCCTCCTGGGCTCAGGCAATTCTCCTGCCTCAGCCTCCTGAGTAGCTGGGATTACAGGCACGTGCCACCATGCCCAGCTAATTTTTTGCACTTTTGGTAGAGACGGGGTTTCACCATGTTGACCAGGATGGTCTCGATCTCTCGACCTCGTGATCCACCCGCCTCGGCCTCCCAAAGTGCTGGGATTACAGGCTTGAGCCACCGCGCCCGGCGCTTTAGGATTTTTAATGCCAGCAACTGCCAGAGGGGAAAAGAATGACTATTTATTTTGTTATTATTTTTCCTTTTACCATCATGAACAGTTAAAATGCATCCTAAAATAGACATATATGTAATGAAAACTATGATCATTTAGCTTTCCCAATGTCTAACGAATGGTCCAAAAAAATGTTACACCTAAGAGGTGATAATGAGCTACAAGGAGGAAGTCTTTAAGAAAGAGCTAGTGGCCGGGCGTGGTGGCTCATGCCTGTAATCTCAGTATTATGGAAGGCTGAGACAGGCGGATCACGAGGTCAGGAGTTCGAAACCAGCCTGGCCAATATGGTGAAACCCCGTCTCTATTAAAAATCCAAAATTTTGACGGGCTTGCTGGTGTGATCCTGTAGTCCCAGCTACTCAGGAGGCTGAGGCAGAAAAATCTCTTGAACCCAGGAGGCAGAGGTTGCAGTGAGCCAAGTTCACACCACAGTACTCCAGCCTGGGCAACAGTGCAAGACTCCATCTCAAAATAAATAAATAAATAAATAGAGAGAGAGAGAGAGAGAGAGAGAGAGAGGGAGAGAGAGAGAGAGAAAAAAGAAAGAGGTACCAAAGCTGTGAGGCAAATGCATTCTGGGAGTTTGCTGAAGTTCTGAAACCCAGAGATCACGCAGAGAAAAGCAAAACTTACTAAACGTAGTTGACCCTTGTACAACACAGGTTTGAAAGAAGACTTTTTTCAGTCAAACACAGATGAGAACACAGTATTCACAGACATGAAACCTGCCTAGATGGAGGAGTGACACTCAGGTTTTGTACACTCAGGTTCTGCAGGGCCGATGGCGGGACTGGAACGTGTGCAGATTTTGGTATACACAGGGATCCTGCGTATAGTGAGGGATGACTGCATTTAGAAACTGAGTGAATCGAGAGCTATATACTTACTTAGCATATTCAATAAAAAAAAAAATTGGAAACTCAGATAAAGTATTTCCCTGCTTTTACCAATATAGGTTGCTTTTCTTTTTGGTCCGCTTTCTTCAGATGATCGTCCCAATTTCTTATATCATTTTGCCTTCATAAAGAAATAGTGTCTTAATAAGCACAGTCCTCCCTTGGCATACAAGGGGAATCAGTTCCAGGACCCCCACCTATACCAAAATCTGCAAATACTCAGGTCCTGCCATCTACCCCATGAAACCTTCAGATTGGAAAAGTCAGCCCTCTGTATGTGTGGATTTTGTATCCGATGGATACTGGATTTTGGACGAGCATTTGTACACAAAACCTGCAGATACAGAGGGCTGACCGTATTTATTGAATAAAAAAGTTCTAGCAGAAGTGGACCCACACGGTTCAGACCTGTGTCTTCAAAAGTCTGCTTTTCATAGTATTTTTAATATGCTGATTGATGAGATCAAATGTCTCCGAAAAGGAAAGTAGGCTGAATCAGAAAAATTACTGACTGGCATCTGGGGTTATTAGTTCTAGGCCTGGATCTGAGAATTCTAAAATGTTGGATCATCTAGTTTTGTTTTTATAGTTACAAAACTGGAGGGGAATGTTCTCTTAGTTCTCTTCATTCTGTAAGGGAGAAAGTAAGTGATTTATTCATCTGAGGATATTTTATTATTAATGTTACCAAAGAAAAGCGTTACCACCACTTCCTTCTATGGCTCATTTTGTGTTTGACACTCTTAGTGTTACAACTTCCAATAGAACCTGAATGCTGATCATCAATAAATAATTTTATTTATTATTTTATTTGCAAAGAAGAGGAACTCAGTTTAGTCTCTATATTACTTGTACTAATCCCCTTCAGAGGCCAGGCCTGTGGCAGGCAGACCACTTGAGGTCAGGAGTTCAAGACCAGCCTGGGCAACATAGCAAGACCCCGTCTGTACTAAAAATTAAAAAAACAAAACAAAACAAAACAAAAACACTTAATAATATGAAGACTTATCTCCCTACTTTCTAAAGGGGAAAAATAGATGCCAAATCTGCTAATAGTTATCCATGGGATCTATTTTCTAGCCTCTCTTTCTTCAAATTTTGTGTTTGCATTTTTTAAATGAAGTTTTTTCAATTCCCATTTTTTTTTCTTTTTAATCAAGAAGTTGGGAGGAAAGGCATTTCCCCATTCACAAATGCAATAAATATTTATTAAAAGCCTATATATGCCAGGCAGCACATGAGGAATAAAACATACACTGTTTTCATGGACCTTACAGTTTATTAATTTGACAGACAAAAGACCGTTGCTTCACTAGGAAAACCAGAACATTTCACTTAACACATACAAAATAAAAGAATAAAAAGAGAAAAGAAAACCAGAATGACCGTCAAGCCCTGCCTGCCGCTTTGTTCAGTATCAGACTTGCATGGTTGAAAGGAGCCACAACAGAGAAAAATGTTCTGCTCTGCCTTAGAAACACTTGTTTTTTTTCTTCCAAATTATGATTTTAAAGGTCTTTCAAGGGAGGGCCAGACGTTGTGACTCATGGCTGCAATCCCAGCACTTTGAGAAACCAAGGAGGGAGGATTGCTTGAGGCCAGGAGTTCAAGACCAGCCTGGGCAACATAGTGAGACACCATCTCTACAAAAAAATTAAAAAATTAGGTGGGTATGGGTATAACCTGTAGTCCCAGCTCCTCAGGAGGCTGAGGTGAGAGGATCATTTGAGCCTAGGAGTTAGAAGCTGCAGAGAGTTATGATCATGCCACTACACTCCAGCCTGGATAACAGAGCAGGAGCCTGTCTCTAAAAATAATAAGAATAAATAACAAAAGCCCTGAAGGTCTTACCGTTTTGGAAAATCCCTTCCAACTTGTGATCAAGTCACATTGTTTATTCCAGGACATTTCAATAATTGCTTAGATGACCTTTTCTATTTAAAATAATGTTCTTGATTTTTTTTTTAAGAGAAAGGAATCATGACTAGACACTACAGAATGCCTGAACTGAACCCGTGGATGAAACAAACAACGCTTCAATCAATTTCGTTCTTGAATTATGCCCGTTGCTTCTCTGCAGGTGAGGATCAGGTGACAATCTGGAGGACAGTTAGCAGGTGGTAGCTTTTCTGTCTGGACCAGTTGAGTCATTCCCTGAGGCAACCACAGCCCATCTTCCCTGGAGTGTCTGTCTCCATGAGGACAAAGCTTACCTGGGGTGTGTTATGGTTTAATCAAATGCCACATTCAAAATTTGGAAATTTAGCATGAAGAAAAGAGCTATCGTGATGAGCAAAGATAGTATGTTCTGCATTAATTTTACTGGAAACAGGATTTTATCAATGCCAAGAAAGAATTGTACAACATTATCTTGACTACTATTACTTAACATGGGCTGAAAGCCTATCATCTTGCATTTGCTTGGAACAGAAATGCATTTGCCACCTGACTTTAGCCAGTAATAATCTTTCTTCAAGTTAGCTTTCCCAAAGAGCTTATATATAAACATCTCCCCTCATAAACTCGGAGAATGCAAACTGATAACAGAAAAAGTTGAATATTGAGGAGATATTTATTAGAGTGTTCTTTGGAAAAACTGGTCTCAGAAAAATAACCTGTATTTGAATATGGCTTTTAGCTAAACTACCTCCTATTACCTGTCACAAGTTGCTTTGGTAAAGGCTTTGCTTTAAGTTTCAAACTATTTGTTTATTTGTATTTT